CCTGGCCATGCAAGTAAGTAAGCAAGCAGAAAACCTTACAGGTGATGAATTATTAGACTTTGTTGGGGAAAATGTAGAAATGGCCAAGGTTGACACCTACTTTCGCCTTCACACCATGTATTGAGGGAGAGGGACAGGGACATGATAAAAACAATTGTACCATGTTCACTCCTGATGACATTTAGTTAAAATAAGGAATCTGCCTCTCCTCCTCTTCCTACTAATATATGACACTTCTAACAATTCTATTTTAACTCCTTAAAAACAAACAAATAAATAACCCAACAGTTACATCACAGACCAATTCAGTGGCCACTATAATAAGTGACTTCTCAATTCTGACTCATCTTCTATGAAAAGCAGGAATAAGCCTGGAACTGCCACTCACTTGAGATCTGAATTTTAAATTTTGGTCTTTTCTGGGTTAAAAAGTAGAGAGCAAATATTTTGGCAAACAAGGCAAACAAGGAAACTGGGGATAGAGGGTAGGAAGACCCTAGTATCTCCTTTATTCTGCATTAAGAACCATAGAAACTGTCTAGAAAGAACCTCTAGAGGCTGTACTGTCTATTCCATCACCTAAAGGCCAGGATCAGCTCCACCTAAAACATTTCTTGATAGGTGTTTGCCTAACCTGGTTCACTACTGATGCTACTGGTTGCCTTACTACCTGCTGTGCATTCATTTCCCTTACTGTGTGTAGGTTTTCCAAACTTCTAATTTGGATTCAGCAAAGAAACATTTGTAGCTGGATCTACAAGAATAGCAAATAGAGATAGTTGATTAATATGTGCAGGTACAACAGCAGTAAAGGGGAAGAAGTCAAAACCTTTACTAAGTAGCCAGCTTACAGAACAGAAGTCTTAGGTTCCTTTCAGTCAGGAAACGGGCCCTCATAGACACAATTGGTTCTGTACATTTCCCCAAGTCTGTACTTTTTGGCTTTTTTCTTCCAGTCTGACTCTGTCCAAGGCCTCCCTCATCTCCCTTTTCTTTTTGGTCAGTCCCAGATTCTATCTGCTAACCCTATCTCTGCAGTCCCAGTGTCTTTGGCTGCTCAAGACCCATTCTCTTCTACACTCTGTCTGCTTAAGAACTAGTCTTTCACTCTGCTCCCTAAAATCCATCCTTCCTCCTCACCCGGTCGGTTTCTGAACTTCCTTCCCTGGCCTGTGGCACAGACAGTCTAGATTCCCACTCCTTGACAAGTCCTCCACTTCTCCTCCTCTCTACATGGACTCCCAGTTGCAGTTACCTCTCCATGGACCTCATTTCTGGTCTCTCTCTTGCCCTTTCAATTTGATTGTCTGCTACACTTTGTTCCTTTCTGCAGTTTGTCCCTTCCTGTGAGTCCAACTCCCCATGCACTCCTACACCAACTTCTCTTTTGACTTTAGCATGCCACTGGTACATTCTCCACTGGCTCAATCTCAATCTACCTAACTTCCAGCCTCCCCTCAAACAGAGCTTCAGTTTCCTATCACTTGCTAATGGTCTAAGTCTGCATTCACAGTCAGTTTTCACTTTATTTTCTCTCACTGCCTCCAGTCCAATCTCACCAGATTTCTTGACCTCCCTAATTTTTCTTGATCTCATCTAGTACTTTCCCATCCCCATTGAAAAGGCTTCCTGTGATGTCTTGCCTAAGGTAACAAAAAAAGGAGTGAGGGAGCATGAGCACAAGAAAGTGCTCTGCTCTCAGCTGAAGCATCTACTGCCCTGCTGTCATGAAGCAAGTTGCTGTGAGAATGGTGCACACCCAGGGCAGGTAGAGCTAGAAGCTGTGAGGTATTTGTGAGCCCACACGCAGGACAGCATCTCTGGAAATTCTAGTCTGAGTCTATATCCATCTTGAGAAAAGCCCAGTTTTTCAAAGGCTTATCCTGCGGCTTGGCTGTGGCCAGATTTGGGTCAAATGTTGTAAGATACAGCAAAACCAAAAGCCACATTCCAGTAAAACTCCAAGTTTTTAAGCAGACTCCTGCAGGTATTAAAGTCTTTCAATGAAAATATTACAAGAAATTTTGAAAATGCCTCAACATATATTTTTCCTTGGCCTGGCTGTCAGCTGTAGCTGAATTGCGTTAACCAAAACTTCTATAAATAAATTACCCTGAGCCAATGCAGAATATAAAAATTCATCCCAGCTGATTAAAATTTTTCAATCATAGAATCACAGAATGGTTTGAGTTGGAAGGGACCTTAAAGATCATCGACTTCCACCCCCCCTTCCAGGGGCAGGGACCCCTTCCACTAGACCAGGTTGCTCAAAGCCTCATCCAGCCTGCCCTTGAACACCTCCAGGGATGGGGCATCCACAGCTTCTCTGGGCAACCTGTTCCAGTGCCTCACCACCCTCACAGTAAAAAATTTCCTCCTAATATCTAATCCAAATCTACCCTCTTTCAGCTTAAAACCATTAACCTTCATCTTCTCACTACACTCCCTGATAAAGACTGCCTCCCCATCCCTCCTGTAGGTCCCCTTTAAGTACTGGAAGGCTGCTATAAGGTCTCCGTGGAGCCTTCTCTTCTCCAGGCTAACAACCCCAACTCTCTCAGCCTGTCCTTGCATGGAAAGGGTTCCAGCCCTCTGATAACTTTTGTGGCCCTCCTCTGGACTCACTCCAACAAGTCCATGTCTTTCCTGTTGTCAGGACTGCAGAACTGAACACAGTACTCCAGGTCTCATGAGAGCGGAGTAGAGGGGGAGAATCAACTCCCTTGACCTGCTGGTCACACTTCTGATGCAGCCCAGGACACGGTTGGCTTTCCGGGCTGCAAGTGCACATAGCTGGGTCATGTCAAGCTTCTTGTCAACCAACACCCCCAAGACCTTCTCCTCAGGGCTGCACTCAATCCATTCTCTGCCAAACCTTTATTTGTGCTTGGGATTGCCCCAACCCACATGCAGGACCTTGCACTTGGCCTTGTTGAACTCCATGAGGTTTGCACAAGCCCACCTCTCAAGTCTGTCAAGGTCCCTCTGGATGGCATCCATTCCCTGCAGCGTACTGACTGCAGCACACAGCTTGGTGTTGTCAGCAAACTTGCTGAGGGTGCACTCAATCCTCAGCAAGTTTGCTAACAACCCTAAGCATCTACAAATGGAGTCTTGTAACATGGACTGGAAGATGACCTTAGAATAAGGCAGTGCAATCAGTCTCAAGTATATGATCTGGAAATAGGGATATAAAGGGTGAGGTGGCAACATTTGTTGAAGAAACTATTTGAATTAATCAATAGAAGACAGAGAGTGACTTCATGAGATCTTAATAAAGTTAAGTGAACAGGCAGAATGATTGCAAATTTAATTCACAGTTGACAAATGCAAGATAATGCATATTGGAAAGATATGATTTGAGCTGCTCATGTACTTTGCAGAATCCTGAATTAAGCGTAATTACTTGGGGAATGGCTTGGTATCATTATGAACAGCTCAGTGAAACCCCTGTTCATTTTGCAGTAGCAATCAAACAAAAAAGTAATCTCGTATTATGGAAGGGTGAGATAACAAACACAATTGGAGACTGTCTTGTACCATTACGCAAAATTATAATGAGCCCTCAACTGGAATGATAAGTACAATTTTGGTAACTCCCACTCAAAAAGATTTTTTTAAAAACATAGGACATCTAGAGCCAGATGGCAAAAATGGCTAGAGGTATGGAAATGCTTATGTATGAAGGGAGATGGGAGTTCTAAATTGTAAAAAATTGAGTGTGCTGGGATTTTCGTTAGAGAATGTCAACATGAAGGTAGATCAGCAGGGATCCTGTGGATTCCTAAGTAACTGGTATGTCCATTTCTCACACTGCTGCTGGGATGCTATTTTTCAGCACTACGGTCAGAGCTGCATGTTCAAGGAAGCCATGAATATCCTCAACATGCTCTTCACTGGCCTCTTCACTGTTGAGATGGTCCTGAAATTAATTGCCTTCAAACCCAAGGTAGGTGCTATAGGCGTAGAGTCTCCTGGCCTCTGTGTGTGTGTGCATGTGTGTGGGGCAGCTGTGAGGAGAAGGAGGAGGTGAAACTTTCTGATCTATTACCCCACCAATAACTGAGCTGGACAGTTGCTCTCTGGATTGGAGTCTCACATATGTTTAATAACTTTTTCACTGGAGAGTAGACACCCTAACAAAAAAACCAAACCAAAACAAAACAAAAAAAAAAATAAAAAGCAACACCTGCTAGTAGAGAAGGTTCCTAGTTCTCCATTTTCATTAAGTTATAATAGTGAGACGATGTTAAGGCTATGACATGTTTACATGTTTTTCATTTTGAATGTTATTCTAATGCTATCTCTGACTTTCCTTAAATAAATTTTAGAAGGCATCCCAGGATTAGTCTCCTGGCCCAAGTGAAGTTAATCAAGCATGACCCATTTTGAGTTATGAGCCTTGGAAAAAAATTTTTCTTCTGGGAGGACTACATCTCAATGATAGTTTGTATTACTTTAGTTTTGAATTTAAGACTTCATTGATAATATGCAGTATCCCAGCAGGTCCTGTCTGAAAGTATTGTCCTGTCCATTGGGCCATGGCATTCTGCTTCTGCTACTATAGCTACACCATGGTGTGTGATTATAACCTACAAGGTCTTCCAACTAAGTTGGTACAGCTGCTGCAGGACAAGGACAAAGATTCTGACTTCACATAATTTAAGATTACACAAGGCTTTCTTCTTTGGGCTTAAATTCAGTGGTGTGTCATAAGGAGTGGAATCCAGATACCTAAACACAGGTACCTCATGCCATTTCATCTCTCTGTGATACTTTGATATATGGGGTTGTATCTTGAAGGATACCTTGGGGTTGGCAAATATTGTCTGAAATGTCAGTTATGACATTGCTAAAGATGAGAACCACCATGTCTGACAGTCATGCTTATCCTTCATGTTAAACATTTAGGGGATCACTGAAGTTAAAAGCCCCTCCTAGCTCTAACCTAATATATTCTTCATCTTCAGCTCGGAAACTTTGCTCTCCAATTCTACTGAATTCAGCCTTACTTTTTCTTTTTAACTCTGTGTTGACTTTACTCCCACCCAAGCCCTTCTCTCCTTCCACACTTTCTAGGACCTCTTCTTAGAAGAGTCATAATTTTATTTTTTTCCTGAGCCAGATATCCCTGTCCTTTCTCAGATGTAGTTCTCTTGAAAGTTAGGAACATCTTGTGTAGTCCTGGTGAAGGACTGATTTTTTTTTTTTTTTTTTGTGAGATCTCGAAATTGGACTTGGAAAATTTAAAAGTATCATCATCTGTTTCAGAAGGAATTGTAATTTTCAGGAGGGATCTACCTTTTACTTTTGAGATTTTGCCATGTCTATTAGCAAGCAGTTCTTCTGGCACTTTGTAGAAATATTATCTGCACATTATGTACCCAGAAATGTATCTCACAGGTTTTGTAATGTTCTTCTGATTCCACGGTTCTACTTCACAGGAGATTCTTAACTTTGAGAAAGATGAGGTTCTTGGTAGAATTTGTTTTGAGCATTTAGGGAAAAAGTTCAACCAGTTCAAATATTGAGCTCTGTACATATACAAGGAAGGCTTTACCTGATGTGGTTTCCTCTAACAGTAAGGAAATTGACCTGATGATATTGGAGGTCCTTTCTACTTCCTGTGTTTTGCTTTCCTGAGTTCAACCTCCTTTTCAAGTTTTGTTGCACAATAAAGCATTAAACAAAATCAACTGAGAGTAAACATGTATCCCCTGGATAGCAAAACATTGGAACAGATTGCCTAAAGAGATTGTGGTATCTCCATAATTTGAGGTCTTAAATTAGGGAAACCTTTCATTAGAAACAGTTTAGGAATGTGTGATCTGCCTTGGGACAGGGAAATGGACTAGACCATCTCATGAGGTCCCTCTCAGCCCAATTTTCCATGATTCTGTAGTTTCCAAACTAAATCCCCAGCTACTACACTACAACAAAAGTGAGAATATAAAAGTTTTCCTTGTGACCGGAATAGTAGAGTATTAATGAAGTCTTCTCAACTAGGGATCAGACAACAACTTCAGGTTGGGTCCTGCCCATCCTGAAAGAATAGCCAGCAAAAAGAATAAATCTGTTTCAAATCTTAGTCTGGCCTGTATGCCAAAAATGTAGTATTAACTCTTAAACTGCTATTTTAATTAAACACCTTCAGGAAATAAATGAAATTTTTAAAAAAGGAACCACAGGATTTATAGGGAAGAAAAACAGGAATGAACTTGTGAAAAAAAAATTAATACAGCAAAAAGACTTGCCTCCAGCAGTATATTCACATGGGATTATGTTGAGTACCAGTTCAGTGACTCAGGTTTGGAAATGTCAAAATTCCTTGCGTAACTTGACATTGTCTGTTCAGTACAAGGATTTGGCCTGCAGTCTTAATTCCCTGCTCCATATTCACTCAACCTGCTCTCCAAAGAAGGAAAACCCCTCTCCCAGATGACCATTTGGACTGATATGGACCAATACTTTAGGGCATAATCTGCTTCTGTTTAGGTTGCACATTGGGATTGAAGCTGAACTTGCCTATAATATGTTCTGTTGTGAGAGTCTCCCAGCATGGAGAAAGTTGTTACTTCAGCCCTCTGCTTGGCCAGACCTTGTGTCCTCCTATTGCTCAAGGTATAAAAACAAAATACACTCACAGATGGAGGTGGTTCCCAGGAACACCATCTGGAAAAGTCCAAAAGGATTTAATTGTCACCTGGGTGAACATCACTACAGCACGGCCGTCATCCTCTCCCCTCTAACCAGCCAACTCTCCCAGAGAAAAAAATGAGATGCTAAGTGATATTAGTGTTTCCCAGATGTGAAATAGCAAGCTTAAATGCTCATGAGATCTCTGCTGAAGACAGATTTGTCTGCTGTTCCCTAAGCAATAAAACACAAACCAGCCTTTGTTTAAGCTGCATTGTCTCATTTTGAATTTGTGCCAAACATAATTATTTTCTATCTGAAGAGTACCCTAAAATGAGGGAGCTGTAGGCTTTATGACTGACAACAAGAAAGCAGGAAGCTTGGATAGCTGAAAGTGTCATGTCCTTGCCTTAGCAACAAGCCCCAGGAAAATGTGGCAGAACAGAACTGTGCACAGAACGGAAGCTGGCAAAATTCACCCTGTTTTCTCCAACTTTGCGGTGCTTACCCCAGCAGTGGTGCTGCAGCTAACCTTCAGCTGCAGCAAGCAGCGCAGTAACTGACTTTTAACTCTGAAGCAGCTGCCACAGAGCTCTCCCTTGCGCAGTCACTTTCTAAAGGCACCTTGAAATGAATGGTCTGCAGCAGCAATAGAGGATCACTGTTTTCTCCATCTGTGCAAGGTAGAACAAGCTGCTGTTTATTCATACCTTTACCAGAGAGAATTGCTAAGGGAACTGGGAGAGCTCTTTGAGGTACTCAGAGATTCTTACAGAAGTCACCACAGCTATGCGCCCATGCAGAACAGCTTTGGGGAAAGCCTGGAGTTCCTAATAGACATAGTTCCTGCTGCAGGCAGTGGTGTGGCAATCACTACTGTATGAAGTAATATAATGGACTATAATGCTACCTGTGTATTACATGCGTAACAACAGAAGAGGTGGCAGTCTCTGACTGAATAGGTTTTTTACTGTATCCAGTTTTTATTTCTAGACTCCTATTCTGCAAGGAGACATGTCCTTCTTGTTTGCTGCTCTTGATAGTAAAGGTAAAAAAAGCAAATGCAGTCAGCTGCACAGACATTAAGTAGGATCACATATGTGAAGGGGGTAGGAAGACAAGGGCTTTCCTAACTAAACATATTGTTACTGTTGAGATTCCTTGCTCTAGTCAGCAAGTCCCTTTAATACCTGTCCTTTTTATTGCCCGTCTTCTGTGAACAGTGTTTTGGTTTCTTTAGTCTCCAAGTAGGCTGTAGAGAAGAGGGGTGTGCTAGCTGGAGCAGCTGCTGGTGTAGATAGTGCATGAAAGACAGGGAGAAGGCCAGCCTCTGATAGCCCCCATGTTTCTGTGTGGCACATTTTATGGAGGAAAGGATCAGTTATCCCACATTTTTTTGCAGGATAAATCTAAGCACTGTGTAAGACAGCTCATCAATGTCTGATGCAGTCTTGACAGAAGGGTGTGTTAACAATGAGCAAGAGAGATTTTTGGATGATTAGTGCTGATGATAAAGAAAACATCCCCTAAGTGCCCTGCATCTCCTTACAGAGTACTAATGTGCTGCTCTGAAGCAAAACTCCCAAATGGACCTGTTTGTCTTGGCTGACGTTCATAAACTGATCCAAGACTAGTTACTTCAAAGAGACGGACAGTCTAAAAGTAATGCTGTTGAGCCAAGGCCTTTTACTGCTTTGTTTTTCTAATTTTATAAATTCTTGAGCCAGTCTGGTAGGCTATTTTCCAGTTCCTGCATGAATCAAGCTGCTGCTGCTGCATGCTTTTTCCACAGAAAACTACTAAAGTGAGTGAGAGGTGCTATGCTGTCTGGGGTGCTCACAGCTACCAGTGTGCTGACTTCTTAAAGAAGAAATCCCCACAAACACCACTCCATGAAGGACCAGCTGCTCTGCAAAAGTTGCCTAGGTTTTATCTTTTCAACTCAAAGACAACTACTTAAAATTCCTCTTCATATGAAGGTGTGCCATCTGTCAACATACGTGCTAATATGGGGATGGATTATTCCTACAGGAATTTCAGATCTTTCCATCTTCCTGGAATGGGCTGTTTTACAGATGAACCACATCTACTTTTTCTTTCAGGAAACATTTCATCTATCCTCTTGTTTGCTAGGGCAGCACTAGTAATCCAAGTGGTATGAATTTTCTACCACTGTCCCTGTCATCTCAAACTCGGGAAAGCATACCAGTGGAACTACTCCCATGCATAAAGCACGTGCTCATGTATTTTGTCAAATGCAGGTCTGCGTATGGAAAGGGAGTCTTGGGGATTTCCTCTGTAGAATTATGAGAG